TCCATTCTACCTCTCTATTTACTATTTTTACAACATAAAAACATGAAAAAGAAGCAAAAAAGATTGTAAAGGATTTTTGTAAAATTCCTTGAAAATTTTCTTATTTTATATGATTCAATAAAAACAAACGCAGTAGAAGGGGGTGGTATTGGCCAATATGAAATAGTTTTGTTTTGGAAAATAAAACCATACATATTGGTGAATTAGACCCCATAAGATGTCTTAAAGCTATTGGTTGTCTTAAATTTGACTTAATTAATTGTGGACTCATGGACAACTGCATGCTTAATTTTCTCCTTATCATTCGTTACTTTGTGTCTTGTATTTTTTTGGAGAATGGCGGTTCAACCCAGGGTCAGAATTTTTAGGCCCAAAGTAGAGTTGGAGTGGGTGCTAGCTCGGAATTGATGCCAATTCACGGGCGGGCATTGGTGTATAGAGTGGGGGTTTTTGACATTTTGAATGTTTATAACTTCGCAGTGGAAATCAGAAATCTGCATTGGACCTAGACCTGGCAATTGGGTTGGGTGGGTTGGGTTCGGGGTTGGGTCAAGACACTTCGGGTTGATTTCGGGTCGGGATGATTTTCGGGTTGGGTTATCAAATGTTAGACCCTAACCCTAACTATTCAGATTAGGGTTAACCCATGGGTCAATTTGGGTCATCCCAAAAAATAACTGAAATTTAAAAAAAATAAAGAAAAACTACATGAAAAATGCCAAAATTAAAGGAATTAACCTTAAAATTCCAAATAAAAAATAAAAAATTGAACATTTAACAATTTAAAGAGTAAAGACTAAATAGAAAAAATTAAAGAGTGGAAACTTCTCACAATGAATAAATAGTCCCAATTAGACTTGATAATCGGTTTAGCAAGTTGACCCATGACCCAACCCAACCTAGTTTTTTCCAGGTTGGGTCGGATCGGGTCATTCTCACATTCAGGTAGCTAAATATGAGACCCTAACCCTATTTTTTTGGGTTGGGTTGGGCCGGGTTCGTGGGTTGGATCAACTTTTTGCCATGTCTAATTGGGCCTGTTCGTACTGTTAGACAGCTTTGTATGCCCTTAGCTCCAATCAGTTTTGATGTACTTTTGACATTTAGTGTAAATGAATAAAGTGCATGTTTGATTCATGTTGTGTGGTATGTTTCTGTGTAAGACCCTTAAACTGGACATTTAACGAGACTCGTGTTAGTTTAGAATGTTCACAGCCGTTGGATAAGTCTGGGGAGATTTATCCTRCCAAGGCTAACACTGGTGTGCTGCCAAGTGTTGGGGTGGCCTGTCTCAGCTGCCAGGGTGAGACCCAAAGCACATGCAGTGTAGGATTACTTCAACCTTTGAACCGAACCAGATTTCCAGTATTGCCTTGGACCTTGGAGATTGATGGGCAAAACTGGAAAGTTACACCTGACCCCTAGACACGATTATGATACTGCACTAGGTGTCGGATTGGGCTGCCTTTGATATGCCAATTAGTGAGATCCTTAATGGGGGTCAAAACCTGGGTATGTTGGGACAGTCTAAGAATTCATCTGAGTCGGTGATCATAGTGACAAGATCAGCCCCTTTGTCGGACAAAGGTAATGATCGGGGATGCACTCTCTTTGATGGAAACCACACTGCCGGCAGTTGATTTCAATCGTTGGAATTTTGTTTTGCAAAATTTATATATAAGATATATAGATATGTACGGTTTCAAAATGTTTGCAAATGGTTTTAATTACCGGGATCCATGTGAACAGAGAGTGCAACATTGTTCCTTGCAGCCGAGGGAGAGGTCCTCTCTTGTCGGGCAGTGTTTGATCATTATGGGTTGAGAGGTTGAGTGTAAGGCCATTTAGGGTTATACCTGATGGGCTAATCTTGCATCTGCTCACAGTCCTTGGGTTTTTATAAGATGGATTGACCTAGGACCACTTAGTGTAAGTGTTGGGCCCATAGAGTCCATGTGATGGGCTCAGGGGGTTCATTGGGCCTTGTAATAAATATTCAAATAGGATTTGAATCTAGTAATCTCCTGATAAGATCAAGAGTGGGTTGATCTAATCTGCAGATAGAATTAAGAAGACTTCTTATCCAAATACAGATTTGGATTAGGATAACTCCTAATGAGATTATGAGGTTTCTTAATCACTAAGAAAATGAGGAGAAAACCCTAATTCGAATAACAAGAATTCGAACCCCAAGGGATTTTCGCAGATTACACTGCACTCTTGAGATAGGATCTCAAAAACCCTAGAGAAGAAAAAAAGCAGTTCGCCATCTTCTTCTCTAGCTTTCTCCTCCAGCAGCCGCTGCCATCTATTGCCAGTTCGAGTTCTCTGTGAAGGAAGATCAAGAAAAGTTATTGATTTTGTGTGGTGCTCTCTGCTTCCATCGAGTTCTTCAGAAGAACCTGCTTCGTGGGACGAACATTGCTGGTTCTGCTCCATCATCACTGTGTCATCTTCAGTGGGAGCAGTTCTTGGGATTTTCTTTGGGTGTGAACACTAACGTTGGGAGATACTGTTTCTCTGGATTAGGTATATCCCTTCCCTTCTCTTTTGGTTCAGAACTGGTTTGGTTTTGGTTCAAGTTAGATCCTTGAATACTGTATTCTAAATTTAGGGAATATGATTCCTAGTTGGAAGAATGGCAAGAAATTTTTGAAATTCGCCCACCCATTCCGCAATCTTTTTGGCGTCCATATGATGGATCTTACCATTCTTTCACGTACTTCTCTTTTTTTTTTTATTTTTTTTTAGGTCTAGGTCTTGTAAATTCATATTTGTTATTTGGCATTTGACACTGGGATAACTTTTTCCAATTAGCATATATTTGTTTAATCTGAAACTAAGGGTGATCATTTCTAACCCAACCTAGAAGCCTGGCCCAACCCAACCCAACACATATTTATATCATATTTACATGCTTTTAAATCATATTATAGTATATATAAGTAATACCCCACATAATATATTATAAATAATACTTTATGTATAATTATAATAATACTTTATATGTTATATGTGATATAATACAAAATATTATGTATACATCCAGTATTACAGTCAGGCTCAAAATCCTAGCATGAGTTGCTGAGCTCGTGTGGGCTCGGGCCTGGGCTATAGCCCAAATTATGACATGTGCTAAGATTGGCTAGGGCCCATGGCACCCTTATAATAGACCCATTTAACGATGGATCATGTCTTTTTTTTTGGGTAAAATACAAAAAACCTCTCCTAAAGTTTCTGACAATCATAAAAATCTTTCTTATAGTTTCATTTTGACAAATACCTCCCCTGAACTTTTGAGAAATTCAACAAAAAGCTCCCTTCTGTTACTGTTTCAGACGGAAAACGTTAGATTGATGCACTAGTTTTTTCCTAATATCCATTATACCCTTTTATAAATTATTTTACATACAAAATTACTGAAATAATCCCATTTTAACTCAATAAAAAAAATTTAACTCAACAAAAAAACATATTTCAATAATTTTGTATGTAAAATTATTGAATGATCATTAAAAGAGGTTTTTGTTGAGTTAAAATGGGGTTCTTTCAATAATTTTGTATGTAAAATAATTTATAAAATGGTAGAATGGGTATTTGGAAAAAACTGGTGCATCAATCTAACGTTTTCCGTCTGGGACAGCGATGAAAGTGAGGTTTTTGTTGAGTTTCTCAAAAATTAATATGAGGTATTTGTTAAAATGAAACTATAAAGGAGGTTTTTATAATTGTTAGAAAACTTCAGGGGAAGTTTTTGTATTTTACCCTCTTTTTTTTTTTTTCCTTTGACACATGGCAGATTTAAGTCGGTACCTCATTGTTGTTATGAGTGTGGGCGTCCTCCCTGTAGATTGACTAGGCAAAAACTATAGGGTCGATTCCATGGCCGATTTCGGTTTTCTGACTCAAAGCCTTCCCACATGGATACTGATACATAATGCCAAATTGAGAGGGCTTTTGAGCAAGGTTTTAAAAATGGACTTGGAATTGGAACCATTCTAGCCATTGATTTTTAGGTTGACGGTTTGATCATCATGTTCAAATGGGTGTCTCGTTCCAACTAAAAAAAATAAAATAAAAGATGATTTGATTGCCCAGGTCTAACCGTCTAGGTCAACGGTGGTTCGAAAACATTGCTTTTTGAGATATGACTTTTGATTAGGGATGCAAACGGATCGGATCGGATTCAAATTAGGGTATATTCGAATATGATTCCACAGTATTCATGCCGGATCTGATTCAATCGAATCTGATAGGACTTGATTTGAATTCAAATCCTATTGGTAAGTCGGATCTGATCCGATCCAACTTGTTTTCTTTAAAAATTAATAAACTATTAAAAGAAAAATAAAATATACCAATTTAAATCAAGTAAAAAAAACAAAAAAGATACAAATATTTTTTAATTGCTTTCGTCATATATATACATATTTTTTTTGTAAAAAAATAAATAATATAACAAATTTATAAAAATAAAATAAAAAATATATTTATAAATAAATAAATAATGTATATATTTATATTTATATATTATAAATATATAATAAATAAATAATGTATATATTCGATCAAATAAGATCGGATGTCGGATCCGATCCATTTGCACCCCTAGTTCTGATGTTTTGAGCTGGACCCACATGGAAAACGTAATCCTGAAAGTTAATATAATCTTTCCGGAACACAAGAGCTCTGAATTACTTATCCGGAACACACGAGCTCAACCACCACAGCTCAGATAACGCAACGCATCCCAAACGCATAAGCCCTCCTAAACGGTCTGAAGGTCACGTTAAGCGATAAGCAGATGCCCTACTTGCTTCATCAAAAATTATAAATTAGAGGCTCTCTCACGGGGTGTACAGCCTCGACGGTAGACCCTGTTCCAACGGAATCTCCCAAAAAATTTTAACCCGGGATCGTCCGTACGTTGTTTTTTTGAACCCTCGCTAAATTTGAAATATTTCAAAACCTCCCTATACACTATAAATACCCACGCTTCTCTCTACATCTCTCTTCCAGTAACCTCTACCCATCGCCCAGCCCAGCTTTCTCTTTCTCTCTCTATTTTCCTTCGAATTCGGTCCGACCGCGTTCTCTTCACGCCGCAAGTCCATTTCTCTCTCCTCGCGTCTGTTCTGCTGTCTGTCTTTGCCTCAATCTAGACGATGAGGAAAGGTTCGAAGAGAAAGGCGAGCCAGAAGGAAGACAGCAAATCTCCCGAAGAGCTCCCCAAGGATTCAACCAAAGCATCGAGCAGAGGGAAGCGAGTCAAAGCTCCTGCTGCACCGAAGCAAAAAGAGGAGCCCGAATTCTTCCCCGAGAAGCGAAATCTGGTGACTCATCTTGCTTCTTCGATTTTCGATTCTGTTTATTTGTGTATTTCTTTGATTCGGTTTGATTTGATTTGGTTTCTTTAGGGTTTTTTTGTAGCTTTTAGCTTTCAATTTCTGGATGGTTGTGCTATTTTCCGTATTAAAATGATTATTTCTGAAGTTCTAGTGAGATATTCCGAGCTTGATTTGAGTTCTTTAGGTTATTGTTGACTTCGATCTTTCAGTTTCTTATTTGTGAAGTCCATATAAGGATTGTAATGTAGTTTTCTTTCTCCCTATTGGGAACGTATTTGTTTGTAAAATGTTTTAGAGGTCTTATACAAATCCTCACTCTTTGATTCAAAGCTTCAAAGTGGTAATTCTACTTGTTATCTACTTCTTTTGTATGTTGAGCTCGAAGCTGCTTTAAGACTATCAAATACTATTGATGAAAGTAAACATTTCACTAAAAAAGAGAGAACAGTTCGAGATCTTGATGGCTTTCTCTTCTGTTGACCCAAATGTTGGTCTCCGTTTTGTAGGAAGATCTATGGCAAGCTGCATTCCCAGTTGGCACGGAGGTATGGCTTGATCTTTCCATTTTTATTTAAATTTTATCAATGATAGTAGGATGCTAAAGGAAAATTGGCAATTTGCACTGTTATAGTGTTATCCTGCGCATTTCTCACAAAAATTGATGTGTTAATTGCAGTGGGATCAATTGGACTTGCTTAATCAGTACAAATGGGAATTTTCAAATTTAGAAGTGAGTTATCTTGCAGTATTTATGCATATTTTTGGATGTTATGCAATCTAACTTGATATCCTATTTTTTTATTGTTTGGTAAACTATGTTGATAGCATGAAATGATGTATTTCATACTCCTTGGGTATCAACGGAAGAAAATAAAACTACAAAGCATATATAGTGATGGGTTGTCATTTTTGTGGCCAGAATGCCTTTGAAGAGGGAGGAGATCTTTATGAGAAGAAAGTCTACCTTTTTGGTGCTACAGAACGTAAGTGGTTGAGATAACTTTATTTTTTTATTCTCATTGCTAAAGATTCTGTTTGCCATTCATCAAACTTGGATACAGTGTCAACTTGTTTCCAATATTCACCTGAAAGATGGTTAGCATGGGTAGCACCTAAAAAGTTACATTTGATTTTATGTCTTTTCTCCAGTTTTTGTCAGTTGATATCCAACTTCTTAATTTCATTACCTCTTCCTCTTCTTTCATTTTTTAACTTTTTTTCACCATGCTTGGTTTCATGTATATCTTCGCTTAATGCATTTTTTGATCTTTAAACTTCAAAGTATTGACATAGGCATGTATATCTTTCCTTTTTTCCCCCCAGCTCAAATGGTATTCTTCAAGGGTGAAGGGAAAGTAGTCTGTATCCCCACTGTTGTGGCAGTAAGTTGGTTTAAGCTTCATTTCTTTTTTCTTGGCTCTAGTTAATCTAAGTGGTCTTGATTGCATGGAAATTTCTGCAGTAGCCTGGTGTCCAGTTAAGTTCCTTTACTAGATTACATGTTCTTCCACCAAATCAAGCCTACAATGAAAGCCAAGACTTGTCCAGGCTGCAATTGAACAATGGACTATGAACTTTGATGCATGATCATATGCCTTTCTTTTAGTCCTGGCCAACCAAGCTGGCTATTGGCTTTCTGGAAGAACCTTCCCTAATTCAAAGTTGTTTTATTGGGAAGAATCCATTACTTGGAATTGTATGCATATACTGAATTTGAACTTGTATTAAAGCTATACACCCAGTCCCACTTGGAAGCCTGGCAATGTCATGTGTACAGTTTCACCAAATCTATGCAAACTTAAATGGAGATATACTTGCAACTGGAATTGAAGAAATAGAAAAGCTATAGACCTGGTGTGTATTTTCTTTAAAATAACAATTTGTGTGTTGTGAAGGAAATTTTTTCCTTTTCCTTTTCCTTTTCCTTTTCCTTTTCCTTTTCCTATACAACATTGAAATTGTTATTTAAAGCTGGAAAAGATGATATATTTATATATGTTAGTTGCAGTATAGGTATATGCTACACATTGCTAAATCAGTCTGTATCTGTGTTCATGTGTGCTTATAGATAGCTGAATCTATGTTTGACTGCAAGTTCTATGACATGGACATTTGTATTTGAGACTATATAACCTTGATTTCCTAAATAAGTGCATTTGTGGTACTATTGTGAATTAGCATTTTTTTTGCCATTTGTGTTTAACTAATATTATTCTATATAGCTATAAGCATTATTGCTTGTGTTAGTGATTTTTAGTTCCTCTTGCTCCTTATTTACTTTTTCCCCCAACTTTTGAACAGGTTGTTTCTCCTTTCCCACCTTCCGATAAGATTGGCATTAATTCAGTCCAAAGGGAAGCTGAGGAAATAGTGCCAATGAAGAAAATGAAAATGGATTGGGTTCCATACATCCCTTTAGAAAATAGGTTTTGTTCTCTCATTTACTTTAGTGATTTTCTGGATTATATGTTTCTTATGGAAGTGATTTGGGGATGCTCCTTGATTGATGTGAATCCAACATCAATGATGTCATTATTTGGTTGTCATGTTATTTTACAGGGATAGCCAAGTGGACAGATTGAAGTCTCAGATTTTTATTTTAAGCTGCACTCAGAGAAGGTACTGGTGCATTATTTTGTTGTTCTTTAAGTCTTCTCATGCTATGCCAATTGAAGATTTTATCAAACTAAGGAATATGGTTGTGAGGCATTGAACTTGGACTAAATTTCATGATTGTTTGGTTCTCTAGCTTAGCCGCTTATACTTAGCTTCAGTCTTCTTGATTTTGTTTCTATATTTTACTTACTAGATGTATCAACTGATCCTGTGCTTGCAGGATTTATGTGGAACATTTATATAAGAGTCTAATTATTGATTTTTCATCTTGCTAACTAAACTAGATGCTAATTTGCTATATAGATAGTTAGTTGTTTCTGGTACATTTTAGATACCAGTGTTCATTATTGCACTTGGGCAACTATCTATTGTGAATTTGTGATATTCTTACATGTGTATAACTATTGAATTTGTTTGAAGTGTTCTGTATTCTGCCTACTTGTGGAAGTAAATTTTGTAGCTTGCTTTTATTTCTTGGTTCTAGTGACCAACAATTGCCATCCATGTCACTTTTCCCTACTAAGTAGAGATGATCTCCTGCTAGAATGAAAAGATCTATATGTGAAGTCCTTTGCCTCTTTTTTGAACTGTTCTGAATTTTAATGAAAAAAAGAAGAAAAAGATTAGAGAGTACAAAGTGCTTGGTTGCATCATGAGCAGATTCAGTATTTCCCCCTACCAACAAAGAAAAGAAAAGAAAAGAAATCTTTTACCTAGTTGCTTCTAATGGATTCATGTGGAAATCTCTTGGTTTCTTTTTAACTTGTCAGGAAAAGACAAAGGGTGTATCACCTTCACTCTGTGCACTATTGTACTACAATGGCAGCAAAATGGTTTTATTCCTTGAAGAAATTTCTTGACAGTGAAATATTTGTTAAGATCTCCCTTTTGGTGTCTCATAGTCATTTTAGCTTGTCTTGTACAGATCCACCGAGTCCCAAGCCGGACCTATCTTGAATAGGAAATTCATTAATTTAGGACTCTTGTCTGAAATCCTGTTACTCATCTGTATCAAGTATCAACATTAAATGTCAGAAAAAACATATGATAATGACCTTGTACTATATGTTCTGTTATCATGCCAACCAAGGTCTTAGACTCTGACTGTTGAACATGTCCAATGTTTTGGCCTATACCAAAAGAGGCTTCAGAAAGCAGAAGAACCATTGAAATATTCAGGTTTCAAGAATTTTTGCTAGGCTGAGACTTAAGAGGGGGGTTTAGTTGAGGTAGGCCTAGCAAAATGGTGATGAAAACAGAAAGTGGTTTTGAAAGGAGTAAAAAAGGTAACTGTTTAAGTTACTTGAGATATTGAACAGGCAAGTCTTGATTGATGTGGTGTTTTTTGGAGTATAGTGTTTTTGTTGCAAGTGTTTGATGGTTTTCTTGGGCTGAGTGTTTTAGGCGCTGGGGGCTGGGTTTGTTTTGTCTGGTTTTGGGGGTCTTTCGGAGGATGTTTCTTTTCGAAGTGTTTGAATGTTTAGAGTTGGTTTTGTTTTGTTTCATTCTTTTCCTTTTGGTTGATTTCTTATTACCGTTCTTGTACTCTTTTTCTTTTTATAAATTTTATTTTACTTACAAAATGAAGTTTTGGCCTATGCCATTTTTTGATGTTTATTCCTATTATTGGTCTACCTGATTATATGAGGTTTTGGATCTTTGTTGTTTTGTAGTATTCAAGTTATTAATTTGTAATGGGGGTTTGTCATGTAGATAGTAGAGATGAGTCTTAAAGTGCTATCATCAAAACCTGAATACGTTTTATTTTAAGTGTTAGGGAAACACAAGCCTCAAATAAATTAGTCAGTGGCAAACACCTATTCATGAGCATTTCAAAGTGAAWAGGGAACCTTGACAAGGCTATTGATCAATGTGGTCCAGATTAGCATGTAACACCATTGATATGGTGTTTGACTTTGAATATATATATATATATATATTCCAGTTTGAGGCATCATCATCCTCTAACATATATATTGGGGCCAGGCTGGCTGGCTACATGAATCCCAGTTTTGAAGCATGCTGTAACATATATATATTGGCCAATCCCTAGATAGTGGAAAGCTTCTGAGAACTCCCTTTTCTGCTAATATTATTCATTCATAGTTTATTAGTATTATCTTTCAAAAGATAAAGAACCATAATTAAAATTGTAAAGTGAATTTTTTATGCAGAGTTAAGAATTTAAGACTTCCGCATGGACTTGTTTGGGATTGCCTCAAGGGGCTTGATACAGCTGCTAGAATTAGGGATGCAAGATCTTTAACATCATATTAGCCATAGCTATTTAAAATAATGTGATTGAAAACTTCTCATGCTTGAATAAGATTTATATGTCATGTTTAATTTTATTGTTACATTTTCACTTTGATATGTTTCATATGTTATGATTATGTTTTTTAATCTGGGCCAATGGGATTTTTAAAATATTTATTTAAAGTTTGCATTTTCTTAATAAATACTATTGTAATATTTTTATTTATTTTGATTTTTTTTTTTGCATTTTTGAATGCTTTGCTTTTTTTTTTTTAAACTTTGTGCATTTCTTTTTTGAATTTCTAATTTTTTCTGCCTTGCTTTGCACCTTGTGCCTTGGGTCTGAAAAGGCCCTTGTGCTTTTAAAATACTGATAGTACCAAATACTTCTTGGATGCACTTTGCCTCTTCTCAAAATAATGATAAACTGGAACAATCTGCTAAGAATGAGGTAGAATGCTATAGAGGTGAACAAGGGAAGCAGTAATATGGACAATCTGGGAAGGGAGAAAATAGGGAGAGGTGGTACGATGCTCTTCAAAGAAGAAGCAATTGTAAAATTTTAGATCTTGAGGCTTTCATAAATCTAAACTTTGATGGGAGAACAGCTTCAGCCAACCCTGGACCTTCGGGTCTAGGAGTATTTAGAGATCAAGGTGGTTGTATTGTATCTTTATTTTCTGGACCAATGAGGTTGGGGACTCATTATGGTCTGGGATTCTTGCTATACTTCAAGGTGCGCAATTGGCAAGAGATGAACATGGACAGATCAATGATTAAGAAATATGGAGACAGTGGAATGGGTCTATAGGGATGAAATTAGGAAAATCAAATGGCTTACAAGAAACGTGATTACAAGAATTCAGTGGGGCCAAAGGTCGGGCAATGGGGTAGCTGATGCCTTAGCTAAACAGGGGGTCAATTTCAATTGTTTTGGTCTAGATTGTAATTTAAGTTTTATTTGTTTCGAGTGGTAGTTGTTCTTCTCCAAGGGATGCCTATATGTAATGTACATAGTCTGTTTCATTTTTAATATAATCCATGCATCTTATGAAGGAACATTGAGGTTCAATTCGATAAACTTTGTATATTTTCAATAAGAAGTTTATGATATCTCGATATGTAAGATCTATGTTTCCTTAGAGTAATCAATAAACTTCTAATTCTGATACTGACCTGATTACCTTAATCTGTATAGTATTAGGAAACATATTTTAATCTTAAAATGGTAAGAAGATGCATTTTAGTTTTGGTTGATCAATCAATCTCTGGGCATCGCCTTGTGTGGCAACTTACTAACTATTCCTAATTCATTACCCACCATCCTTGTTGATTTTGGTACACTGATGTTTAATTACTATGTGATTTTATAATACATGTAAATCAGATTTGTTCCTTTTTAGGGTTATTTGAAAATTTTCTTTTGGACTAGCGGGTCTTGTATCTTTTGTTCTTTTTCAGTTTTATATTTTTAACAGTTTATATTTATTTTTTCCCCTTTGATGCAGGGCTGCTTTAAGTCACCTGAAATTAGAACGTGTCAAGAAATTTGAATATTGTCTGCCTTGTGAGTTTTCCTGATCTTCTACCTAATGTTGGATGGTGGTATTCTGTTGTTTTTCCTTGGTTGTGTGTCAGGCATCTTAATTACCTAAGGTGCATCAGGCTACTATATAATTGCAGTACCTTTTTATTCCTGCTATTGTTTTCCTATGTTGCATGGCTTGGGCAATAATTTAGCTCTAAGATATTTGTTGTTTTTTCATAATGGAAATAATTGTGTTGGTGTTTTAGATATTCACTTCTTGATACAGTAAATGTATGTAATTGATTCTTCCAATAAATTCATGCCCTACTTCTGCATGTTAAACTTCATAAGCACTTATTTTATGAAATTTACCTTCTACAGATTTCTATCAGCCCTTGAAGGAGGACGAATTTGAGCAGTGTACAGAAGTTAATATCATTTTTCCAGCAGAACCAAAACCGGTAAGATAGTAAAGTACAAACTAAAATACTAAATTCAAACTTCAAAGTTGATTTAGAATTCCACTCTTTCTGGATGATATGCATAGCTACTTTGCTTCCACTCCTTCCTTTCTCTTTATCCCTGATATTCTCTTAATATGCTTGTTTTTAATATATCAAGTAATTTATTGGATTCTACTTACATGACTTAGGGGTATGTGCGTATCAAAAGCTTTTAGTATATCAAGTAAATAATGTTTAGTTCTGGTCTTTTCCCCTGCAGGTCTTTTGTGAATTTGATTGGGAGCTTGACGAGCTTGAGGTACAAATAGGGTCTTTTTTTTTCTATGGCTTGTGTGTGTTTTCTACTATAACCTAACTACACACCCTTAAAACCCAAAAAGGGTTTGGGTGAGTGGTCAAAAACCATCTAGATTGTCACTTCAAAATCTTTTCTTGGCATTCATCATAAGTTTCAGATACAAATATTTGCCATATGTAAACAAAGATATTTTCTTATTGATTACCATAATAATTAGAATGGTGCAAGGTATAGCGGTGCTTCTTGAGGGACCACTATGCCTTTCACGTTTATCTGACATACTGTCTGTTGTCCTAAATACTGTTTTTACTATCTGCAGGAATTTGCTGATAATTTAATCAAGGAGGAGGAATTATCTGAGGATCAAAAAGATGCATTCAAGGTATTTTTAGTGAATGGCAAACATGTACTGCTTTGAACATTCTCTTCTTTAACCAAGATAATACGTGCTTTTATTTTCCTAGGACTTTGTTAAGGAGAAAGTCAGAGAAGCAAAGAAAGCTAATCGGGAGGTATTTCTCAAATATCTATAGCTTCAAACTATTCCTTTTCTTGATCAACAGTTGTGGAGGTGTATGTTTAAATGTGAGCACTCCTGATACATTTAATTCCTTCTCAGGCAAGGGAAGCCCGGAAGAAGGCCCTGGAAGAAATGAGTGAGGAGACTAAAGCTGCATTTGAAAGCATGCGCTTTTACAAGTTCTATCCTGTGCAAACTCCAGATATACCTGACATATCCCAAGTAAAGGTAAAGTCTTGACAACAACTGCATTACACATATCTCAAATAAATGACGGAAGAATACTATTCATAAATGAGAGAGCTTATAAAGTTTTGCCCCTTCATCATTTAGGCCCAAAATGAGTTTGAAGCCAGTGCATTTTCTATTTGCAATGTTCTTGGTTGCGAAAAGCTATCCATGCAATTCAGATGTAACTCAAATATTGGCATTCATATTGCCTTCAGAAAAATGACTCTGTCCTTAACTTTTCTTTTTTTTTTTTCAATTAAAATTTCCTTCAAAGTAGCGTTATTTGATCACTGAATCATTAGGGATTGTTTCATTGTTCTTGGCCCTTGAGGTCGTGAATGCAGTTCAATTGTTATTCAATGCATGATCATTTCATGTTTGATAATGCCCTTCATAGTCTTCTTTCATTCATGCAATGCACCCACTCGTGTTTTGTTTATTTGTATTTGAATTTTGAAATTCACTTTTGAACTATAAGTATGCAAGTTTTATTTCCTTTCTGTTCCCCTTGGTAGCTGTGCCTTTGTATGGTGCCATTATCAAAACTTTAGCTGTCACTGTGTTATCCTTAAACTCTGACCCCTGTGTTGAGTGAGAAAAGCAAGTGACCAACCCTCATGCTCTGCAATGGCATTTTAAATTCCTATTCTTTAGTCTAGCTTGTCATGTTCCCTCAATGAAGATGATCATTGTGTAGCTCAAGTCTTTGCACTTGATCGTAGATGGATTCTATATTGTTGAATGAATTATTTGCTCCTTCCAAGTGTTCCTAACCCTGGTTGCATTACCTCACATGCAAAGCAACTTGTATGCTTCTTGGTGTGATTGCCTGTTTCTTGAGGTTGAGGCCTGAGGGTAAGATCTACCTTGAAAAATTACTTTTGCCCCCTGCTCCCCATCACCCTTCTAGTGGAACAGAAATTATATGGGCACATTAGGAAGCTTGAGGTTGACTCATCTTGTTGTGAGTAAAAGGACTATCATTTATTTGTAGTTTTTATTGCAACTTTTTTGCTTTCTGATCAATAATTTTGGTGGCAACTTTGTATTTTATGTTATGTTAATCTTTGAGCATGTTGCTTGTTGGAATTTGTGGTGCAGTCTCCCTTCATAAATAGGTACTATGGCAAGGCTCACAAGGTTCTCTAATGGGGTTTGTTGAGGAGGGATCGATATCAACTTCAGAGTATGGTTCAAGTAAAGGGATGCCTGCTTGCTTTCTAAAACTGAGCAGCAGTATAAATGCATTTGATATTTGAGAAAGATTAGGTTGCAACCTTTCTTTGGTTGATCACATGCTCTAGTGATCAAGCTAGGTGTTGTGTGATAAATGATATAGTTCATTTAATGAGAATCGCAAGCTGATCTCTTTCCATCAGATAATTTTGTAGGAAATTTTGGGAGGCTTCTAATCCTGGAAGTTCTCTTGGTGTCTTCATATGCTGGAATTCCAGTGTTAAGAGCTTCTGTTCTAAATTCTCCCCCTCAGGTAGACTTGTTTTTTTTTTTTTTTTTTCTCTCTTCTTTCATAACATTCTTTATAGTTACTGAAATATGTGAAAGAGGTGCAAGCATGACTAGATTTACTCAGACTTTCAATTTTTTCTTGTTTTGATTGATATTTAATGGTGTAACATGAGGTTCTTATGATGGTAATAATGGTATAAAAAGTTAGATATTTGTACTGAAGCATTTATGCTTGGGTTCATATTACAATTTACGATGAGAACTTTATCTCTGAGGTTCCATGTTGTACTGTAAAACGAGTCTTTGGATTGTCAAGTTTGATGTGTGATAGAGATAGGATATCGATGATTGTGGATGTGATGTTCTTATTAAACCTGGGAAGAGAATGAAGCATCCAGGTAATGCCAGCTAATCTTCCACAACTTTGTTTGGAGCTCTGGTGAAGCCGAAACCAATCAATCAAATTGAACTGCAACTTAGGGTCGGCCATACTTCAATATCTTTATGGTACACCAGTTATGGAGGTGGCATATATTTGTTTTGTTCTTACTATTGCATGGCTATCTTCAAATGTGAATACAACTGACACATATTGAGTAGTTTTTAGGAGCATGGAGTGTATGCCTGTTACTCTTTCATTAGGGTGCATAAAAAACCATGATTTATGTGTTGGAGTCAAGATGATCTTTATTCATTTTTTAGGTTGGTGTTTTAATTCATCAAGTAATTCCTACATAAGGATTCGGGATGCCCCTTTCTGCCATTAGATTAGAACTATCCAAGATCCTGTCTGATCATGGAGTTGTATTCATTCAACATTGCTTTACCTCTTACTTAGGAGTTGGCACTTTTAAGGCACCTACCCTATAGAAAGGATCTTTGATGGTAGTTGCAAATCATCCTTAACGTTTGAAGGAATTTTAGCCATAATCGGTGTATCTTCATTGTATGAATAGGTGATTTGCTTGTTTCAGCACACAGAGAGCATAGTACTGTCATTGTTATCAGTAGGCTGGTCTCTTTTCTTTTCCTTATGCAACATCAAAGTCATTTTTGAGTCCATTTTACTAATAATATATAATATTTTGATAATATAGACTACTTTATTAATTCTATTCAATATCTGGTTCCACTCTGAATCTAATATAAATCTTTTAGATAAGATTTCCTTTATATCTGAATTCTTACGAATCAAGTTAGGATTTTGGTGTTCCAGAAACTTGGCATGTTTCATCAAAAAAAAAAAAAAACAAAAGAAACTTGACCTGTAAGCCATTAGCCATCGCCACTTTTGAGTTTAAAAGGCTTTCATTGAATGTTGGTAACTCTCTTCTATACCATTAGAAATTGCACAACAATAAGAGTCCCTAGCTTTCTTCTGGATCTGAATTCAATTCCTTGTCCAATAGTATTGCTGTTACTAGTTCCCAAAGTTTTTCTGGTTACTAAGATTAAGAATATTAATATCAGAGGTCAAAGATTAAAGTAGCCGAGTACGCGAGTCAACAAATTTTCTTATTTAGCACTGTCAAATGTCTTACAGAACTGATCTAGGGGTGCAAGTTGGGCGGGTTGGGTTGGGTTTATGGTGAACCCAGGCCTGACCCTAAAATTTGGGCTTAAGGCCTGAGCCCGGCCCGAGTTCAAGGTTAAGCCCGATTTTTCCAATCTGAGCCAACCCTCCCTGTAATTTGATGCACTTGGGTTGGGTTTGGGCCTAGGCCGGGCTTGGATTGGTCAATGAACTCACTCTAAAATTGCACATATATAAATGTATTTATGCAAATATATATTCATATATTTATGTATGTGATATATCTATATAAATGTTGTATATATAAATATGTATGCAATATTTACATATATGCACATATATATGTATAAATGTATATAATTGGGTCAGGCTCGGGTTGGGTTTCGGCTAACTTGGCTTGAAAAATAAAAAAACCTGACTTCTTGGGCCTGAGCTCAGCCAGAGGACCAAAAATCCAAGCCTAATCTGTGTAAAATTTCGGGTTGGGCCTGTTTGGGCTCAGGCTGGGCCTACTTAAGTTGCACCCCATAACTGATCTTTGGTTTACAACCATACTTTATGTTAGCAGTGTTTTTATTGCATGGCCAGATATCATTTTAAACCTTCTGGATGCTTATCTGTGATGAATCATCTACCCCATATTATAGAACAATATTCATCCGCAAATGCAACAAGGGGTCCTAATACCTTTCCATTGTTGCTTGAAAGCCATCAGTAAACTCTCTTTTGTTGTACCTAAGCATTTCTTGGCATATAGATTGGCGGGATCAGCTCATGTGATATCCTATCATTAACTATTTTCAATTAGATAAAATGGTTTATATAAGAGATTTACGTTATTGGGGAGAAGAAACAGAGAGACATCCTATTATAATACTAATATACATTTCCATTATTGATTGCCCAAAGGAAATCAATAAGCTCCAAAAGTTTTGAATTTTAGTTTGGAAAGAGAATCTCTATTTAGGAATTAGGAGCTCTCATTTAAACGGAATTCACTAACGGAGAAAGATGGGATTCATAATCCAACATGAGTGTTTTAAAAGCTGATTCAGAATCGGAACCACTTTTGGCCACTGGGTCAGCAGTTCAACCATTCGGATTGAATGGGTGGTCTGTTGAAATAAATTAAAATAAAAAATGGCTAAAATGGTAGCGGGTCTGAATGGGTGGTCTGTTTTAAAAGTCGATGTTTTTTGAGCGTTTGTTGGTAGCACATCTGAATTCGAATCATTGGTGGAACTATGGAAGTTGAATGTTTAAGGATAGCGGGTCCGGACTTGTCGAAACCTGGGCGGATGTGATTGCGGAATTTTGTACATCTGACGTACAATCTGAGTTGAATGTTTAACCGAATTGAGTATGGGCCAACTCAGGAGATTTGGGAACCAATTCGTCTGAGCAACAAATTCGGATGTTGTGGTGGAACTAACTCTAGATTCAAGTATCCAATTTGTTTTATCGTCCAATCTAACGTCGGTATTATTACTATTAATATTGGCTTGTATTGGTTGATACATATTGTTTTGGGACCTTTTTGATATGTCTTTATAGTGAGTGTATTGGGGTCTGGTCGGTTTAAGGGGTAGAGTCCTAAACTGGTCTCCCTGAACCGATTTTAAAATAAAATTTAAGAAAATAAAAAAAAAGTATCAATTCGCCTGATATGGGATTGCGTATAAGAAAAGTTGAAATGGACCAAATATCGTGGTGGACGTTATGCCTGAAATCAATCTTGAGTTCCCTTTACTACGTAAAAATCTTTTAGTTTCCTTACTGGATTGAGCCCGTGTTTGAAATGTTTTCAAGAACAAATTTGACCAGCCTAGCCCCAGTCTATGTTCCCAATCCTGAAGACCCATGAAATCGGATATCCTTATACCTCAACTAGTCGATCTGATATCATTAAATCGCCATAGGATCTCCTGTAAGCAAAAAATTTACGTGCATCCAATCCCATATTGGAACATCTCACTATGAATTTAATTTAAATGTACAGAAAAAATTTATTATGTGCAGATGGATGCCGTATACAATAGAGTTTTTGCTTGCAGTAGATCCAAAAAGACCAGAAACTAAACCAAAATCTACTTACAAGCAGGACCATCACCACTATTATTAGATCAAACCTCACAATCATCTTCTAATCCGGCGACCATCAACCCAATACCAACCTAGGCACAAAAATTTGCCAAATTTATGGTTAATCGTGCTAGAGTCTAATCCAGCAACCCGCATCTTTTACACCCTTGTCACCTGATCGGATCCAATCACTTGTTAAGGACATTGAAATACTTCTTCCCACATGGTAAGCTTCAATTTCCAAAGATCTCACGCACCCATGTTGATGTTAAATCCCCCGTTCAGCAACTTTGATTAGTCGAGATCCCTTGACCCTAAAATTACCCACCCACCCACATACCCTTCAAATCTTGATGTCAGGCCTCAGGCCTAAGAGCCCAACATATGTCAACTTATCAAATTTCGCGTAAGAAATTTGATTAGCGTACTCTTTCAAGCATTGACCACTTTGTACCATGGTTTTCAAACTGTTGACTCAGATGGTTGGACCGTTCGGCCTGACAACTGTCTAGGCAATTGGTTCTGTTTTATTCCAAACTTGGTTCTTGGACAAAGACAATTGAATCAGTCAACGATCCGTTGATTCAGATGATTGAACCATTCAATGGTTTTGACCGTTTTTTATTTTTTTGTCAAAACAGGTCCATTCAAACCAGATGGTCGACCTGGATACCGGTGGCCAGAATGGTTCAGTTTCTGGGTTATTTTTTAAAACCATACTTTGTACCATTAAATCTCTATACACCTTAATAAATATCAGCCATTTTCATTAATTCTGAAACATCTTAAATATCCACCATGAATTTTTACCCAAAATCTCCATTTGGCCTTTTTGATCAATCTGCCATTTTAGGCACTCTCATTTGTTGAAAGCTTCACTCACTAAATTTGCCTTTGTAACAATCCTCGGGATAAATAAATCATCTTCACACATTTCCAAGGGAAAATCTATGATGCGAGAAAGACATGAAATATTAAAAAAGTTTTGACCAATCAATACCTCAAATTTTCATAATTCCATTTCTAAAATACCTTTAAATTAAATGCATTTTTAGGTGATTATATTGGTGCAGGGAAAAATAGGGGATTCCTTGTCCCTGATGGAATGGGTGCCCCGTCCTGCCACTAATGATGGGGAGGGGGTGCTCCACCCTGAACCTGCTCTGTTTCCATTCCTACGCTAGGAGTGACCATAGGTTGGGCCGGGCTTATTATTTATTATAAGGCTTATAGCCCTTGCCCGACCCAGACCTTGAGCCTAAAATGTAATCTGGGCTGAGCTTAGCATTGGACCAATAGCATCAAAATGTAAAATTTAATTATTTATAAAATTTTTAAATTATATTATGTATATAATATATGAAAAAATATTGTATAGGAGCAAAGTAGGGCAAAATAGGCTTGGTTTTAGGTCCAAACTTGATACCTATAAAACAAGGCCGGCCGGCCTTTGATCTAATTCGCAATGTAAGACTTTGGATAACACTGAATAGTGAATTTGTTCCAAGTCCCACGTTGCCCCCGATTTACCCAGATTTATATACTTCTACCCTTAAACCTGCAAGAAAAAGACATGCATGCCCTTCAAAGCAATTCTCTACCAAAGCAGCTCCTACTTTTCCGAACCCTACGAGTGTTCTAATCAGATCA